ATAATGACACCTGGTATTGCTATAGGAAACAGAGAAATAAATGTACTACTCTCATTAGAGAGGCAAAAAAAGCTTATTTCCATGGTGCTTTTAAGGAAAATGAAGGAAATCCGAAAGGTCTTTGGAAACATTTGAAATCTCTCAGTGGTAGTGATGTGAAGGAAAACATCAATAGATTGCACATTGATGGTTCAGACATTACTGATCCACTTGACATTGCCGAATGTTTTAATTCATACTTCTCGAACATTGCTAGTAAGTTTGATGTTAGTGCTAAATCAGTTGATGCTCAAATTTTTGCTTCGGGTGATTTTTATCAATCTCTTAATACTCATATTAATGAGCTTAATCCTCTAGGTGATAAATTTGAGATTCCACTTATTGACGAAGGCACCGTCTTTAAGGAGCTAAGAACTTTGCCATTGAATAAATCCACTGGCTTAGACGGACTGAGTGCCCGTTTACTTAAAATCAGTGCTCCTGTTATTACACCTGAAGTAACAAAAATTTTCAACGCCTCAATAAGAAATGGAGTTTTTCCTGAGTCTTGGAAACTTGCACGTGTCACACCTATTTATAAAGATGGAGATAGGAAGGATCCTAATAATTATCGTCCTATCTCGGTTCTTCCTATTCTTTCCAAGGTGTTAGAAAAACATGTTCATTCTTCACTCTATGAATTCATGACTGACCATAACTTGCTTTGTGTTAATCAATCAGGCTTTCGCAGAGGCCATTCCTGTGAGACAGCCCTAATCAAAATTGTCGACGTTCTACTTATGAATATTGACAAAGSTCTGCTTAGTGGCTTAGTAGCCATTGATTTTCGTAAGGCATTCGATCTTATTGATCATGATGTTTTACTAACTAAGCTCCAACTCTATTGTCGCAGTGATTCAGCCATTGCCTGGTTTAAATCTTATTTGGAAAATCGTCGACAGTCTGTTATGATCGCAAAACGTTTATCCTCTCCTAAATCAGTATCTCATGGTGTTCCTCAAGGTTCTGTTTTAGGACCTTTGCTTTTTATAATATTTGTAAATGATCTATCTTTAATTACTAAAGAATCTACACTTGACATGTATGCTGATGATACAACTCAAACTGTGTCAGGGAAAACTCTTGAAGAAGTTGAATCTAAGTTGGCCGATGAATTTAAACCTATTCAATCCTAGGCGTCACGGAACAAAATGATTCTTAACACCTCTAAAACAAAAGTCATGCTTGTTGGTAGCTCTCGTAAACTATCTACTCTTGAACGTGACATTTCAATCGAAGTAGGTAACACAAAGTTACAAACAACTGATTCWGTTAAACTGCTTGGTGTCCAAATTGATCGATCGCTAACATGGGACTCTCAAATTGATAGTATTGAGCATAGAGTTTCACAACGTATTGGCTTACTTAAAAGGAATAAGAGGTATATACCTCATCCGGAGAGAATTTTGTTTTACAATACACTTATTAAGCCACTTATCGAGTATTGTGCCCCTGTTTGGGGAGGTTGTTCCAAGGAGGGTAAATATCGCCTTCTTAGATTGCAGAAAAGAGCAGCTAGAACAATATTTGATGCAGCACGTGATGCACCTTCTGTCCCTATGTTTAACAAACTTGGTTGGATTCCTATTAATGAATTGTGCAATTACTTGACCGGTGCTCTAATGTTTAAGATCTTAAATGGGATTACTCCTAGTTATCTACTCAATTACATTAAACCCATGAAAAATGTTMACAAATTTGAAACTCGCTTTTCTAAGTACAACGTTAAGGTACCGAAAATATCATTGACTACAGCTGGAGGCCGCTCATTCAGTTTTAGAGCGTCTACTTTATGGAATTCCTTGTCTGTAGAATTGAAAACTGCATCTTCTATAAATAATTTTAAATCTAAATACTTATCGAGTATTCTTTTAAACCAGGAATCAATGGACCAYTTTAAGATTTAGTTAGTTTTATTGGATATAAGTATATTTTTATTATTTAWTTATAATTATTTAATCATATTCTAGTTAATATAAACTAAGTCCAGGGCTTGCGCCGGTGTGGTTGAAGACAGGGAGACCTGGCGCGACACAGAGCGATCTGGCGTGACGAGTCGCGCCAGGTCTCTCTGTTCGCGTGGCCTGGCCCCCACATAGGTGCGAGTCTTCGACTTGGTCTATAATATATAATATATTATTCTTAGTACTTTTTTATATTTAACAAATTTACGATGGTTTAGCGTGGTATGTCCTCTTATTTACCACGATATGACGTCAAAAGTTGGTCAAAATGTTATGGACTCACGAGGCGTAAGCCGAGTGGGTCCATAACTAATTTTGACCAACGTTTAGCGTCATATCGTGGTAAATAAGAGG